CGGCCCGGGCATCCAGGGGTGAGTGCCGCCGCGTGCGGGCGCCCGCCGGGGGTGTCATTCCGAGGGGAGGCGTCAGCCCGGAGGAGGGGGGCTGCCAGGGGCGGATGCTGTCGGGGCGGGGGTGGGGGTGCCATCCCGGGATAGGGGGCGCCCAGGGGCGAATGCTCCCGGGGGGTTCTACCACGGGGTCAGAGGCGCGTCTTCCTCGGGGAAAGGCCTGTCATGGGGGGCGTCAAGGGGCAGGGGCACCGCCAGGATGAATGTGAAGGAGCTGTCATGTGGGGGGATATCGTCGTGGGAGCCGCGCACCCCAGAGTGAATATGGCGAGGCGGGGGATGTCATGAGTGGACTTCACTCGCGGGGAGAGGGTGTCATCCTTCTCAGGGACGGGCATGTCGTGGGGGGTGGGCATCAGGGGTGAGTGAGACCAGAGTTTTCATGGGGGGTCATCCCCAGGGAGAGGGCCGTCCAGGGGTGAGGAGCTGGGGTGTCATGGGGTCCTTATCCCTGGGGAGGGAATGTAATCATTTGGGGGGGGGAGCATCGCCCCAGAGCTGAATGCAGCCAGGGGTCATATGGGGGTGGTATACAGGCATGAGTGGCAGTGATGTCATAGGGGGTCATCCTAGAGTGAGTGTGGGGTGTCAGCACAGAGGGAATTTTCTAGGGAGAGAATCCCCAGCAGAGGAAGGTCATCTCTGGGTGTGTCCTGGAGGGGCATGTCTGGGGGAAGGGCATCATATGAAGTGGGTGGGGGGAGGCATGTTGCTGACCTAGTGTGGCCTGAGTGAGGTTAATGGGAGGAGTTGAGTACTGGGGCAGGGCATCATAGGGGGCATGTTGGGGGGAGTTTGGCTGGGGCATCATCCCCTCAGGGGGCTTATCATGAGGGGCAGTGTCATCCAGAGGTGAATGGGGGCAGCACTGTCCTTGGGGCCGGTGGGGGAAGGAGACTGTCATGGGGAGCCTTATCCGTGAGTGGGTGTGGCCAGTCATTGACATGGGGTGGGGACGTCATCCCTGGGAAAGAGTAGGGGCCATGGGGGAAGAAGTCATGGTGTGCAGGAATGGAGGCCCTCATCCCAGAGCTGAGTGCAGCGTGGCAGGGGTGTCTCCCTGGGATGGAGCGAGGGTTGTCTAGAAGTGAGTGAGGCCTGGCCATGTACTGGCAGGCGTGGGGTGGGGGTGTCATCCAGGGGAGACATCATGGAGAGTGGGGGAGCCAGAGGGATGGGGGCCATAAGAGGGAGGGGAAGCTACAGGGGGTCCATATCAGGGGTGCATGTGCCAGCCACACGTGTAGGTCACTGGAGGTAGTGTGGATTCTGAGGGTTGTCGGGAGGCGGTGTTGTGGGGTGTCATCCTGAGTGGTAGAGGCTACAGGACCACATCCTTGCTGGTGGGCATCAGGTCTGAGTTCTGGACGAAAGGGAGGGATCACCCCACTGCCTTCTGCCAGCCTCACCCCCATTTCTAGGAAGGATGTTAGGCCAAGGCCTCAGCTGCATTCAACTCAAGCTCCTACACACGTTAAACTCTTCATAAACAAGTGATGAGATCAGGGGTGGGGGCGGCTGAGTCCCCCAGTTGTGCAGGGCTCCTTCCCCAGCCCAAGATATTGTGAAGGCAGGTGCCCATAAGAATGAAATCTCATGGGACTTAGATCCAAGGAAGTTTTTGTGAATCAATTGGAAAGGAAACAGTAACTGCTTTTTAAAAACGCCCCTGAAGACTTGGTGACTAAATGTTTTATATCTATACAATGTAACAGTCAAAGTGATTCTTTTTTTCGGTGGGAAGTTTTCTTTGTTTTAGTTTTGTTCTGGAATTAATTTTAAACTGTCTTTGGCAGTATTTGGAGCTGGCCTGTAGCTTTCAAGGGAAATAAAAACACTGATCTTCCATACCTGTTCTGAAGGAGCCGCTCACCAGTGGGAAAGGCCAGGTTTTAAAGAGTAGATTCCTGGTTGCCTGGCAGGGTTAGCAGGCCTCCTTGTAAATTGAGCACAACTAGCACGTCCAGCACTGGACATGGCACTGGTCTGTAGGTTTGAACCCTGGGTGTGTATCCTACCTGATATGCTGGTTTAGAAGCCTTGTGCTGCCAGAACTCTTCTTTGTTCCTACCCCCCACCCCGGGAGCGATGCTCCTTAGACGGCCAGGGTGTCTTTCTAGGTAAAACTGCAATGGAGGGGAGGGGGGATGGAATGAAAAAATCATGGAGTTTTTCCTCCCCGGCCCCAGCATGTCACTGCAACCTCACAGCCCTCATGGTGAGGACCCCAGGAGGCGCAGTGGGCCAGGAGCCGGGCTACACATAGCAAGGTCAGCAGATCAAAAGCTCCAGCCGCCCCACTGGAGAAAGATGGCCCTTCTATTCCTGTGAAGAGCTACAGCCTCGGAAACCCACAGGCGCAGTTGAGTCTCTGATCGGCAAAGACCCCATGGCCGTGGGTGGTTGTCATGAGTGTGTGGACATGGCCACGGGTCTCCTTGGGCAGTCGGTTCTCTTGCTTCAGACTTGGATCTTAGGGTCAAAAAGGAGGGGTTGGCACTGATGGGCTCGGGCACAGCAGTGGGACGGGGCTGAAGAGTGGCATTTCCTTCTCCTGGCCATGGACTTGGCACCCACTACCCCTACAGCCAAAACAAAAAGTGGGCAGGGGCTGCTGGGGTCCCACAGTGTCAAGGTGAGGAGCAGGGGGCTTCTGAGGACCCTGCTCAGGCCTCCCCTCTCTGGGCAGAGCTCCACGTGAGCTGGAGTGCATCCCCTCCTGCAAGCTCCTTCCTGTGCCTGCAGGACCCCTGTCAGGGCCATGGAGCCCTGGACTGTGTGATGGGTCCCCTCCTGAGGGCCAGCAATCTGCAGTGAGGCCAAATCTCCCTCTGCCCCTCTGGGACTTGGAAGAGCAGCTTGTGCAAAGCACACACACATGCACACGCGCGCACACGCCAAGGGCACAAGAGCAGGCAGGAAAGGAGCTGAGGACTTGCTCTGGCTACTCTTGTGTGGGGGTGGGGGTAGCTGACCCCTAGCTGCTGCTGCCTTTCCATAGGTAACTTATGCTATAGGTGACATGTCCCCTGCTGTCCCTCTAGTTGGGTGGCCTGACCTTTGGTGACCCACTCCTGCTGACCCTTTTTACACCTGCCCCCCGCTGTCCCTCCACAGTGGTGGCCCTCTGTGACCCATCCACCACTGTCTTTCTGTAGGTGACCTGTCCCCCGCTGTCCTTGGTAGGCGATCTGTCCCCTGGACACATTGCTGAGTAGGCTCTGCTCTCATCCAAGCTCATTCACACACACACACACACACACACACACACACACACACACACACACACACCCGCCCCGCCCCCAGCTACCTGTGGCCTCTCTCCCTATCAGCACTCATTCTGTGGTCTGGTACGGGGCCTCTCTGTGTTCCCAGGGTGAGGGGGACTCCATCTGTGTTCCTGGGTGGGAGGCCCAAGGCCCAGGGCCTGGGGTGGGACGTGACTCTGGTCCTGCCCAGTGTGGTCCTCGTGCAGGGGTGGGAGGGCTGTGCTGAGGAGGGGGCTGGGGGATACAGCATGAAGTGTCCTTGGCTCAGAAAACTCTCTGCAGTCATGGGGAGCGTGGGCTGGGACTCCAGGCCCCACCCAAGGGTTTGTGCAGCTGAAGGGGACTCACCTGGGAGGCCAGTGACACCCATCCAGGAGCCATACCCGCCTGCCTGCCTGCCGCGCAGCCAGTCAGGCCTCAGAACTTCAGGCCCAGCTGCTTCCCACTTGGCAAAAGGAGGATGCTGTGGGGGGGCGGTATGGGCATGCACCCAGTGCTGCGCAGGTGTGTTCTGCATGACCAAGGTGAGGTGTGGCCCTCTGGCAAGCTGGGGAAGCCCTGGCCATCAAGACAGCAGTGTGATGAAGTTCTTTCTTGGAGTAGATTTTGAAACCACACTTGTGTGTATGAGTCCTGGTGATGTGCCGCAAGGTCAGCAGTTTGAACCCATGAGCTACTCGTCCAGAGAAAAATGGGGTTTCTGCTGCCAATGAGATTTTGGTATTTGGAGATTGTGAATCAGGAAGGCTGAAGGAGAATGGGTGCGTTGGAATCGTGGTGCTGGAGGGCCACGGCGGACTGCTGGAAGCACAGACTGGTCTGTGTGGGAAGAAGTACAGCCCCAGGGCCCCTTAGAGTCAAGGATGGTGAGACTTCATATCAGATGCTGGGACATGTGGTCAGGAGAGACCAGTCCCTGGAGAAGGACATGATGGATGCTTGATAAAGTAGAGGGCCAGTGTGTTAGGGTAGACTAGAGAAACAAATTAAGAGACTCATGTGACTAAGAGGTTTATATACAAGAGCAATTGAATATTGAGAACACATCCCAGCCCACTCCAGATCAAGTCCATAAGTCCAATGTTAGCCCATATATCTGATACCAATCTATAAAGTCCTCTTCAAACTCATGCAATGACGCCGAATGCAGGAAGGTCACAGGCAGTGAGTTGGAAGTCTTGTGGATCCAGTGGCATTGTAAGCATCTCAGTGCTGGCAGGGGTCTCCACGTGGCTCCGGCACCCAGGGCAGTATCAGGGTAGGTCCATGTGACTTCTCCTCCATGATGTCTTGCAGGGAGTCAGCCTTGTCAGTGGAGAGTCTCTAAGGGAGTGAGCAGAGAGAGAAAAGTGTCTCCGGCCTCCAAGGAGGAAATGAAGGAATTCCCAGAATTCTCAGGAGAAGGCCATGCCCACACAGAGGCCTCATTGGCTATGACCTGATTGACAGACTAGACTCCACCCCTTCACTCCACTCTCAAATTGTAACTACCACAATCAGTGAAAAAGAAGGCCCTCGGCCAGATGGATGGACAAGGTGGCTGCAACAGTGGGCTCAGGCAGAGGAGCAACTGTGAGCATGGCGCAGGACCAAGCAGCGTTTCCTTCTGTTGTGCATGGGATTGCAGTCAGAAGCAACTCGAAGGACCCTCACAGCGACAACAAGAGATTTACAGTCTCGGGAGCCCACAGG